CTGCCTAAGCCTCTGCTTTCTCCTTCAAGCTGCAACCAGGAACCAACATTTATATCTTCAAACAATCATCCCACAAACTAAATCATTTCCTTCCATTTCTAGGTTCTGTCTCTGTCTGCTCTTTATATTTTTGTTGTTCTGCTCTGTGTGTGATTTTCTGTTTATCTGATTCTGTTATTCTCCACTCACTCCTCAGTCTGCCTCTCCACTCAATCTTTATCATTCACACCTGTCCCTCATCAGCCACCTGCCCAGGTGCTCTCGTTACTCACTCTCCCTCTGTCTCATAAAAAGCCTGTCTCTCCTTCACTTTTTTGTCCGGTGATTGTTCTGTGTTTACAGACATCTCAGTCCTCGTCTATCTTGTCTGTTTCTTGTCCACCTGATCATCTGCTCTGCCTTGTTCCTGATCCTGTTGCCCAAGTAAGTTTTGCTGCACCGACAGCTTTTTGTTTTGTTATTGAAATAAATTGTTTTTGTTTTTGAACTCCTGCCTCGCTCGCCTCTCTGCATTTGGGTTCCAACACTGAGGATCGTGACACTGACAGATATTCTAGTCATCTTTACATGATCTATTTTCCATCCATCCATCCATTATCTTTTACTCGCTTTTCCAATTTGGTTCACGGGGGTTGCCGGTGCCCATTCTGTGCGAGGGGCGGGGTACACCCTGGACAGGTCGCAAGTCCATCGCAGGGCCACATAGAGACAAAAGAGACAAACAACTTCACTCTCTCTGATCTATTTTCCATAATTCATAATTAAACATTATATTCATCAACCCATATTATATTATTTTCCACAATTTATCATCACAAGTTATTTTATTCCTAACACATGGCATGGAAAAGTTTGGGAACCCAAGGATTAGACCAGGTTTTCCCAAACTTTTCCATGCCATGGTTCCCCCAAACAGCATTAGCCTCTGACCAAGGCCCCCTTCGCAAACCCATAAATGCTAGAAAAAATGTAAAGAAACATATTTTTAGACCAACAAAGTCCATGCTCAATAATCCAGGTATACAATCCAACAATTTTCAGTCAGGTCATCTGGACAGTTTCTTTTTCTTGTGATGAAACGTTTCACCTTCCATCCAGAAGGCTTCATCAGTCAAGGAAACACACAACACAAAACTTATTTTTCCCCAACAGTTTGCTCCAAAATGGAACAAACCAGTTATGTTGTTATGTTGTCTTGTGTGTTTCAGCACAAAACAAAGAAACTGTCCAGATGACCTGACTGAAAATTGTTGGATAAACTTTTAGAACGTTTTAACTTTTATTCACTATATTCATTTAATTATTACAGCTGCTGAGCATAAAAATGTTATTAACAAACATGTTTTAAACACTGTATTATATTCCCACCGAAAAACCCCCCACAACTTTTCAACAAACTGTTGACAAGAAGAACAAAACAAAAGAAATCTAACCTCTCTCAAAGGTGTTTATCTGGAAAAGACAGATACAGATTACCCTAGTGGGCAATTTTCATTACTATTATTAAATGGACTGTGCTTATATAGCACCTTTCTATCTCACTGAGATACTCAAAGCGCTTTACACTACAATCTGTGTCCTCATTGACCCATTCATACACTGATGGGACACACATCGGAGGCAACAAGGGGTTCACTATTTTTTTATTATTGGGGTGGCTGTGGCTGAGTGGCTAGAGCAGTCATCCTCCAATGCGAGAGTTGGGGGTTCGAATCCACCAGCAGTCACATGCTGAAGTGTCCCTGGGCAAGACACTGAACCCCTCGTTGCCTCTGATGTGTGTCCCATCAGTGTATGAATGTGATAAAGCTCTGATTAGTCTCATTAGAATGATTTGTTCAATTAGCTTTGTAGAGATCTAGTATAGAGCTGTATGAATGGGTAAATGAGGACACAGATTGTTGTAAAACACTTTGAGTATCTGGATAAAATAGAAAGGTGCTGTATAAGTACAGTCCATTTATTATTGCTTTTTAAAAAAAGTTTTTCTCTCCAGCTTTCTGGGGCTCCCCAGGGGGCTGTGGCCCCCACTTTGAAAAACACTGGATTAGACATTAGCATTTCAATCATTAGAATTCAACCACAAAACAACATTGATTCAATTACATCTTTTCAACATTGGTTAATTGGCTAGAACTGGATGATTGATTAAAGATTGATAAATCATCAGTCGTCAACCTTAACCAAAAATCAACCTTTCTGACAATAATTCAACATTGAATTAACATCTTTTGCTATCTGGGAGGTCATAGAGGTTGTATATTACTGAGTAACACTTTCTTTGGTTTTCAATGTATGCATGGAATATAAAGAAATACAAAATAAGACAGTTAATTCCTTAATTTCAGGATGTGCTGACACTTCGAAATATGTGGGCTTTAGATTACCAAGTGATTGTGTCCTATGAGCACAACATTGCTGGCTCTCACAGCGACCTGTGGCCTCACATCCCCTACTGGTGGGCCAACAAGTGCAAAGCTGAAGCCCTCATCGAGGAGTTTGAACAACGGAAACAACAAGGAAGACCAGGTAGTTTACTGATAGCTTCAAATACCTCTAAATGGAAGGATTAAAAAGGTACTGCTAACATGTAAATAATGCTACACATATTTTATGTTTCAGGGGGGTTGTTTGTCACAGGAATTAATCTGACAGAGGACCTGAAATACATTTGCACCCATCCCACAGAGTCGCTGAAGGATCTGGTGATGTCCACATATCCAGTGCTGCTCGGCTGGGTCAAGGAGCAGACGCCCGGCTCAAAAGTGGACTCTCTCAACATCATTGCTGGAGATTTTATCACAGAGAGCCACTTCACAACCACCGTTATCACACTGAACGAGAAGCTACTGAAATGGCCTTCTTGATTTCTTACCAAAAACACCTCTAATTAAAAGAAACGAGTGAACCACAGCATGAAATTCACACAAGCTTGTTTTATTGTGTGATGGGAAAATACTTTAGTACTTGAATTATTCATTGGATTATAATTGCACTTAGTAGAGGCACATTTCAATCCTAAAGCTGTATGGAAAACAGACTTTTATGTATTTTGACTTACACTGGGGCAGCACGGTTCCTTAGTTGGTAGAGCTGTTGCCTCTCATCAAGAAGGTCGCCGGTTCAAATCCCGGCCTGCGTCCTTTCTGGGTGGAGTTTGCATGATCTCTCCGTGCATGCGTGGGTTTTCGCTGGGTACTCCAGTCAAAAACATGCATGTTAGACAGATTGGTGACTCTAAATTGACCCTAGGTATGATTGAGAGAGTGAATGGTTGTTTGTCTCGTTTGTCTCTATGTGTCCTTGTGATGGACTGGAGACCTGTCCAATATGTCCCCCGTCTCTTGCACAGTGACTGCTGGACATGGGCAGTAGTGACCCGCGCAACCCGAAAAGTAAGAAGTGGGTAAAAGAAAATGGATGGATGGATTTGCACAGCTTTGCTTACATTCAGTTCACTATTAATGCAATCAGTTTTTAGAAGTCTGCAGCTGTGGGCAGTTTCACGCTGACTAAAGCAATAATAACACAACTAAACTCACCTTATTATCGTAGGCATTTTGGATGCATAAGCACAATTATTGTATTCAGTGAGCACTTGAGCTTACAGTGTTGGAGATAAAGTTTTAAACTGGTTGTGGTTGCAGTGATTTTAGGATGTAGCTAAACTTTATCACCTACAATACATGGAATGAACTATAGAAAACGCATTTAGAAATTATACAGAAAACCTGTCCAAAATGCATGAAGAAACTTGTTTGCATGAACCCAACATTAAGTGATAGCAAAGACCTTGAGGTAAAAACTAATGTTGCGCTGCTGTGCCTGTCAAGATGAGCTTTTTCAATAAATGAGTCTTTTCAATTGAGTTGAAATTAAATGTATATTTTTATTAATCCCAAAGGAAAATCACACAGGTTTGGTTTATTTGTCATTTGCAAAATCAACACAAGGCCAACTGCAATGAAATGATCAGGAGAAGAACTGTCTCGACTTGTCAAAAAACAACAACAAATACCAAAGAATGCTACAAAAATACAGAAACAGGGCGCCAAAAGTGAAAAAGAAGTAAATCTACAGCAGCATGGTCCTATTAGCAGAGTGGTTCTGTTGACAGTGAGGTTATCTTAGCAGCATGGTCCAGTTAGCAACTGATACTGTTAGCAGTGAGGTTTCTTTTAACAACATGGTCCTGTTGGCACCATGGTATCGTTAGCAGCGTGGTTCAGTTAGCAGGTCTTGTTAGCAGGTCCTTTTAGCAGGATGATGATAATAAAGACAGCAACAGCTGCCTCCCAGACTGCCCTCCAGAACTGGGTCCAGCAGACAGAACATCCAAGGTTCCCCCGTGGTATCAGGTGGGTCTGCAGGGTTCAGTCCGTGCAGGTAGATGGAGGATCTTGTTAGCAGTGATGTGCAGGTACAAAAACTAAAACCTCAGTCTTGTTTGTGTTCAAAAGCAGAAAATTTAGGGTTATCCAGGTTTTTATGTCTTTAAGACATGCTTGTAGTCTAAGTAGCTGATTGGATTCATTGGGTTTCATGGACAAATATAATTGTGTATCATCAGCATAATAATGAAAATTTATCCCATGTTGTTTAATAACTTTACCTAATGGAAGCATATACTGTACAAGGTAAACAGTATTGGCCCAAGCACTGAACTTTTATGAACTCCATGACTAACTTTGGTGTATGATGAAGATTCATTATTTACATTTACAAACTGGAATCTATCAAGTGATTTAAACCATTTTAGAGCTGTTCCTGTAATTCCAACATCATATTCAAGTCTCTGTAGTAAAATATTGTGATAAACTGTATCAAATGCAGCACTGAGGTCTAACAGGACCAGTAGAGACACAAGTCCATTGTCAGAGACCTTGAAAGTATCATTAGTAACTTTCACCACTGCAGATTCAGTGCTGTGGTGAACTCTAAACCCTGACTGAAACTCTTCAAACAGATTATTTCTTTGTAGATGATCACGTAACTGACCAGCAAAAACTTTCTCTAGGACTTTTTAGATGAAAATTAGATTAGATATAGATCTATAATTGGCTACGATTCCTGAGTCAAGGTTATGTTTCTTAAGTAAAGGTTTAATTACAGCAATCTTAAAGCTCTGTGGTACGTAACTGTTTATTAGAGACAGATTAAGCATATCCAAGATATGGTTATTAATTAAGGGAAAAAGTATTTAAATAATCTGGTTGGGATGGGATCTAGCAGACATGTGGATGGTTTGATGAAGCTATTATTTTTGACAATTCAGATATATCAACAGGACAAAAACAGTTCAAACATAAATCAGGCTCTAGTGACATTTTTAAAGTTGTCTCATCTGACACAGAAACAGAGGTGATACTAGGAATGTTGGTTTGATTTTTTTCTCTAATTGAAACAATTTTATTTGTAAAGAATCTCATGAAGTCATCACTACTTATAGTTGTAGGGATACATGGTTCAACAGAGATAGGATTTTTCATTAGACTAGCTATGGTACTGAAAAGGAACCCTTTTTTTTCCCCAATTCCCATCAATTAAAGATGAATAATATAAAGTTCTAGCTTTATGGAGTGCTTTTTTGTCCATTAGCAGGCTAACTCTCCAGGATAAGTAAGATTCCTTAACATTAGTGTAGCGCCACTTTCTTTCTAGCTTTCTAGATGTCTGTTTTAAAATACTGTACGTAACTCAGAATTGAACCAAGGAGCCAGTTTCCTCTGATTGATTACTTTCTTTTTCAGTGGAACAATTTTATCAAGTGAAGTTTGCATTGAAGTTGTAAGATGATCAACTAGATGATCTAAGTCTCTGTTCTCTGATGCATTACTCTGCAAGACAGAGGAAAACATTGATGGAAGAGATTGTTTAAATTTGGTTACAGCATTTTCTGATAAGCACCTGCTGAGATGAAATTTACTCTCAGTGACTGTGTAGTCATTTAGTGTAAACACAAAGGTTGTTAAAAATGGTCAGATACAACTGGATTTTTAGGTAATATTACTAAGTAAATAATCTCAATGCCATAGGTCAGAACCAGGCCAAGGGTGTGATGATGAGAGTGAGTAGGTGTTCAGACATTTTGGGTAAAACCAATTGACTCCATTAAATTATTAAAGGCTATGCTTGAGCTATCACTTTCAGCATCAACATGAATATTAAAATCACCCATTATTATGACTTTACCAGTATTTAGTAGTGTCAGTTAAGATTTATGGGAATTCAGACAAAAACTGAGCATAGGAGCCTGATGGAAGATATATAACAACTAGTGAGAGTTACTGCTCCGTTTTCCATTTAGGATGGGATAAACTTAGAGACAGTGACTCAAAAATATTACAACTATTAATTGGTTTAGTAATAATTAATAGCCCCGGCTGAAAATGGTTTAAATCATATTTATCTGATAGATTCCAGTTTGTAAATCCATCCATCCATCCATTTTCTTTACCCGTTTATTCCATTTTGGGTCATGGGGGTCGCCGGTGCCCATGTCCAGCAATCACTGTGCGAGGGGCGGGGTACACCCTGGACGGGTCCCAAGTCCATCACAGGGACACATAGAGACAAACGAGACAAACAACCATTCACTCTCTCACTCACACCTAGGGACAATTTAGAGTTACCAATCAGCCTAACATGCATGTTTTTGGTCTGTGGGAGGAAACCGGAGTACCCGGAGAAAACCCACGCATGCACGGAGAGAACATACAAACTCCACCCAGAGGGCCCCTGGACCGGGGTTTGAACCAGGGACCTGCTCGCTGAGAGGCAGCAGCTCTACCAGTTGCGCCACCGTGCTGCCCCAGTTTGTCAATGTAAATAATAAATCTTCTTCATACACCAAAGTTAGTCATGGAGTTCCTCAGGGCTCAGTGCTTGGGCTAATTTTCTTTACTTTATATTTGCTTCCATTAGGTAAAGTTATTAAACAGCATGGGATAAATTTTCATTGTTATGCTGATGACCCACAATTATATTTGTCCATTAAACCCAATGAATCCAATCAGCTACTTAGACTACAAGCATGTCTTAAAGACATAAAAACCTGGATGACCCTTAATTTTCTCCTGTTGAACACAAACAAGACTGAGGCTTTGGTTTTTGGACCTAAGCACCTTAGGAATTAATTTTTCAGTCTTTCTCCCTCCTTAGATGCATTATTCTGTCCTCCAGCTCTAATGTTAAAAATCTTGGTGTTATTTTTGATCAGGACATGTCTTTTATCCCCCACATTAAAAACGTTACTAGAACCTCCTTCTTCCACCTGCGTAATATCACTAACATTAGAAACATCTGATCTAAAGATGATGCAGAAAAACTGGTCCATGCATTTGTCACATCTAGACTGGACTATTGCAATGGTTTATTATCTGGGTGTCCAAATACTTCTTTAAAACATCTTCAGTTGATCCAAAATGCTGCTGCCAGAGTCTTAACCGGAGTTAGTAGGAGAGATAATATTTATCCAGTTTTAGCTTCTCTCCATTGGCTTCCTGTCAAATCCAGAATAGAATTCAAAATCTTACTTCTAACCTACAAAGCTCTCAACAACCTAGCTCCATCTTATATTACAGATCTTATTGTTCCATATTTTCCTAACAGAGCACTTCGCTCTCAGACTGCAGGTTTACTTGTGGTTCCTAGAGTTTACAAAAACAGAATGGGAGGCAGATCTTTCAGTTATCAGGCTCCTCTCTTGTGGAACCAACTTCCAATCTCTGTCCGTGAGGCTGACACATTATCCAGTTTTAAAACTAGGATTAAGACTTTCCTTTTTGCTAAATCCTATAGTTAGGGTCAGCTTGGGTTTCCTGAGCTGTCCCTTAGTCATGCTGCTATAGTCTTAGACTGCTGGAGG